AACAACCGCTCATAGTTTTTTTTATTTTCTTTTCTTTTTTTTTTTGAGTAAAACAACTGCGCATAGGCGTGCTAGTTTCCTATTCATATATACTTGATGGGCCTCGGCACATCATAACTGGGCTCGACCTGTACTTCACACCAGAACTGGGCCAAATGAGGTTATAGATTGGGCCTGCTACGATATTTATTTACTTTTGCTAAAAAAACAAAATTTATTTACAACAATACTCTCTCCATTTCAAATTATAAGTAATTCCAAATTACAAAGATTTATGACATCAAATAGATATACTATAAAAATAAGAATACAATTATACTTACTTGGTGTCATAAATGCTATTATTTTATTATATAAATTTGGTTAAACTTGAGATGTTTTGATTCTCCAAAAAAATTATAATGACTTGTAATTTGGGACGGAGGGACTACATCTATATAAAACACACACAGACACGGCACATTCATTCAGGAGAGAAAAAGTCCAATTACTCCCTTAACTATCGCGGTCATCCAATTTTTCCTGACCTACAAAATGAGTTTTTAAACCTCCCTCAACTTTTAAAAACCGTTCACTTTTACAACCTGAGCGGTTTTGATGATGTGGCGCCACGTCACAGAAGGTAAATCGGACTAAGTTGAAAGTTTAAGGAGGTAAATCAAACTAGAAATATCTTTATAAAAATATCTGAAATTTTTTAAAATTTAAAGTATCCAAATATATTTTACATAAAAATTATATAATTAAAGATCCTAAAACTGGTTTAACCATAGAAATTCATAAAAATGTTTTAGGTTGGAAATTTATGAAACTAGTTTTAGATTTTTTTTTAAATCATGCTCTATGTTATGGTGCCTAAGTTGAAATATCTTGTTCATGTCACTTGATTCTATCGTTATAAATATCATGACCCATGTGCTACCATCTAGATTTTCATACCACGTTACGCTTTATAATTCATTGCACTAGAACTTAATTAAATTTAATAGTTTGCTAAACTTAATTAAATATATTAAACAAAAGGGTCCATTCATGTATCTATATGTGTGGCAGGGTGCATGCAGCCACGCAAACTAACACATACTTTGAAAAGTTATCTAGAGCAGAGAGCCAGTGCCCACTACGGTCCTAACAATGCTTCACTGGCGCTTCTATGTAGTTCAGATGATCGATATCAACAAATTATAATAGATACGAGAGCTCTGCTAGAAAATAATAAGCAACAAAATGTGTACATCAAGATTCAAACAGTTTCAAGCTAACCATAACATAGAGCATGGTTTTAAAAAAAATCGGAATCAAGTTTCATAATTTTCCGAGCTAAAATAATTTTCTATGAATTTCAAGATTAAACTAGGTTTTAGACTTTTTAATTGCAATATCTTGTCATATAAAAATATATTTGAATTTTTTTATTTTAATTATTTTTAGATATTTTTAATTATCTAGAAATAATTCATAGAAACTAGGGTTTACGTTAAACTAGTTTTTTTTTTTAAAAAATCTTGTCAAAATTACCTCTTTGAACTTGCACTTAGTCCGATTTACCCCCTCTAACGTGGCACCACATCAGCAAAACCACTATTAAAATCGTTAGGGTGCAAAAGTAAATAGTTTTCAAAAGTTGAAGGGGGTTAAAAACTAGTTTTATAGGTTAGAGAGGAAAATCGAACGACTGTGATAATTAAGGGGGGTAAATTAGAATTCTTTCTTCGGGAGGAGACAATTTTTTTTACAAAAATTCAGGAGAATACAAGCAATGGAGACATGATGTCCATCGAGAATTTGAGATGATGGAGATTATGCGAACACACAGACCTTACACCACGTGAAGGAATGAAATTGACACGTTAGTACTCCCTCCGTCGAGCAAAGAATGCAATCGTAGCACAGTGTCATGGTTTTGTATTTTAAGTTTGATCAATTTTAGATAAAAAAATATCAATCTTTATGATACCAAATAAATATCATTAGATTAATTATGAAATATATTTTTTATAATAAATTATTTTGGAACCATAAATGTGAATAGAATTTACTAGAAATTTGGTCAAATGTGAACTACTTTTGTTGACACGCAACACATAGTTGCATTTTTTTTGGACTGAGGGAGTAGTAACCTTTTTTTCCCATGAAACTCAATAAGAAAATTGCTGAGTAAATAAAGAATATCGGAAAAAGGGGCAGACAGAACTAGCAGTTACCCATTGTAAATGATGAACCATCTATGTGAATCAATAAAGTTTGCCAGAAGTTTCGAAAAAAAAACTCGTTTTGAATGAATTTGCACAAACCAAAAAAACTAACTCCTTTTCAAAGTGTGACGGTGTGCACTTTTGGGACATGCACCCATTTCGAATCGATCAGCTAAAAAGTTTCCTAGTCTCTTTCCTAGGGTCTTGGTGGCCTGCTGGCCCGAGAGCCTCGTGAATTTTGTAGTTATGTGAGATCAAAAGGCCTGACTATGAGAGTAGTGGCATCTGACAATGCCGAAACTTGCGAGACTCAGAGCCTACTGATACGAGATGACTCAAATCCAGGGGGCGGCGAGTGCCCAGAAAGCACTTCAGACTATCAAATGGACCAAAACCCCCTGATGATGGAGGGCTGAAATTGAATTGTGATGCTTCATTCAAGGCTGAAAATATGTCTGGGAGCTGGGGCTTTCTGATCCGAGATCACGATGGTGACGTTGTAAGGCTGAATCATGTTCTTAGTGCTTTCCAAGCCGAGTTGATATCCTGCTTGCATGGTGTTCAGGCGGCGGCAAATTTGGGTGTTGGCAAACTCATCCTGGAGACGGATGCTCTGATGGTCCAGCAACCAATGAGGTCGGACATCTTTGATGCAATGCCTGGAGGTGCACTGGTTGAAGAGCTCAAGTTTTTAGCTCGTGTGAAGTTTATTGATTTCGTTTGTAATTTTCAGAGTAGAGTTGGCAATAGGGCAGCACATGCTTTGGCTGCTCTGGGTTATGAATGCATTGAAGGGGAGGAACTCATCACAAGTTCTGTCCCTGAAAATGTCCTTGTGATCGTTTCTGATGACTTATCAGTTGAGTTATGAAATTGCCAAAGTTCAAAAAAAAAAAAGAAACTTGCGAGACTCCAGATGCTTATAGGCTTATAGCTGAGTTATACAGACAAAAAAGTTATAAAAAAATGCTTATAGCTGCATCACATTACTTATAGGGGAAGCAAACAAAAATGCAACGATGAAAAAAAAAAATTGACAAAAGTTTTTGGCTTTGCCCGGAGACCTTCAGTGTGTTAGACTGATGACATGACAACCAACTACACCACGAAACCTTGCTGTTTAAGGACTCCTCACACGAGTGATTAGATGTGTTACAAGAGACTAGAGAGGACGGGAGCACCCTGATGACATTGGCTTAGTCTTTAGGTTATGAATGCACATACCAGCTAATGCGGCATGCTATTATAGGTTAGTGCGGTAGCAAGAAATATTCATGGTCCAAAATATGGATCTATATGGCAACCGATTCTATGAAGTTTTTTGTTCTATCAATCATCTCCTGTTGGCATTGCTAATTTTGTATTTACAATTCCCATACTCTCATCTCATCACCGCATTGTTGTCAATCTCATCTCATTTTGTGTAGGATGACTACGAAATCCCTTGTAAATTGCCACAGTTATGTAACAGGTAGGCTGTAGGCTGGTGGAATGCAGCTACTTATATGTAAGACACTAGGTATGCAGTATATATATGCTGCTGCTCACCTGGAGAAGAAGAAAAAGTAATGCCCCAAAGTTAACCTTCATCGACCAGTCCTCGATGGCTGCTGCAAGAAATGCAAACTCGTTTACCTTCATCAACTAGAGCAATGAGGCATGGTATTCTGTCAAATTTCTTAGTGCAATGAGGCTAAAGTGTATTGGCACACTCAGATCAGCACATGCATTCATCACACTTGGCATGGTGAATTGGTCTGTCTCCCTCCCAAGTCCCAGTATAACGAAGCTCTCTGAATAAGTCTAGTGCCTTATCTTTTTTGTTTTTTTAGAACAGTCTAGTGCCTTATCAGAACGCTGTACGTGCACACCACCAATGCTGTGCCTGTAACCAATTAACCATAGATGTTCATGCAAGAATCTCTTGCTTGGGAGTCCAAAGGAAGCATCTCAGGCTATCATTAACTAACAGTGATTTTGAGTACAGACACGAATCAGTGCATAGCTCGTCGTCTGACTATAACATGGACATGGCTATCATTAACCAAGCATGTTGATCCATTCCTCTGTTGTTTGCATACATCTTTTGAACTCAGCGCAAGACTGGACTTGAGCAACTCCCTGACCGGTGCATTGGCCACGAACGCAGTCCGCGCTCACCAAGCCAGTGCGCGCGCGGCCCGGAACGCCCCGATCGAGCACCAAGCGCGCGCGGGGACCACTGGTTCGAGTGCCCGGTGACGGGCGTGTTCATGACGACGGCGCCCCGGCGCGGTGTTCCGTACGTCCTACACCGACGGGAGGCGGGCGCCCTATTTTCTTGCGATTGGTTTTTAGTTCAGACTGGGTAGCCGAGTAGGGATAAGATCACAAGAATGAGATGAGAGTCTTGTTGGAAATCACGGCAAAAGATTCGAAATCGATCGATCGGAATGCACGAAATGAATTGAAATAGATGACAACAGCAGGCGATGGAGCGCCCTTGATTGGGGTTCAGGCACGGTCGTCGGTATGGAGGCGCGGTTCGGTTGGTTTCAGTTCAGAGATGGAATAGGTATCGAAAACAACCCGACTACTAGTTTTTGTTGAAAAAAAATCGCGGCAAAGGAACCGAAATCGATCCATCCATCCATCGATGATTCTGCTTCCGACGTGTGCTTTATATATAGCGGAAGCACCGCTCCCTCCCACCTCTGCCTCCAACGCGTGCTTTCTTCACCTTCACGCACGCACGCACGCCTCCTCCGATCCACATCCACCCAAAGGCGATCGTCGTCGATCCATTAGCAACTGCATCTTGGCGACATGGCTTCCAACGACGATAGCCGCTCCACCGACAATAAGGCTTCCATCGCCCTCCTGCGCCGGAGACCACGTCCACTTCGTCCATCACGTCGACCTGGAGGCTGGAGCCGGTGCCAGGCACCGGTCTCGATGACGGTGGCTACAGCAGCGTCTGGTACTTCTACTGCGGCAAGAAATACAAGAACACCCGAGGCGACACCAGCGGGCACAGGCAGCGCGCGGTCACCGGCGGCGGCGGCACGGGCTGGCACTCGGAGATATGCCGCAAGGACGTCCAGGGATTAGGTGGCGGCACGTTCTGCACCTTTTCTTATGGCCTCAAGAAGAAGGGCTCCGCTAAATCGTTCGACAGGATGGGATGGTGCATGGTGGAGTATGACTTCGCCGCCGCCGACAAGCAACAAGTCGAAGCCGCCGCCGCCAGCAACAGCAACTAAGTACTGTGCAAGGTCTATCGCACGTACGCCTCACCCTCACCCGAAAGGGAACTCGTCGTCTACGTCGTCCTCCAGCAAGCTAGAACGCCTCATCCAAGCAGACGGCCAAGAAGAGGAAGGCCAGCGGCGGTGACCACCCCGAGGCGCCACCAAGTTGATCCAGCATCAAGAGCCGCAGGTGCACCAGGATACCGCCTGCTATCCGCCGCAAGGCGTGGAGTGGGAGCACGGCGGCGACTTCAACTTCAATATCGAAGACTTCAACTTCTACGTCGACGAGAGCATGCTGCGATACGAGCCGGAGCCGGGGCTGCAGCAGCCAACAATCGCCGAGCCGGAGCATGACGACCAGTTCATCCAGCTACCGTGTGGTCCGGTGTTGGCTGCCGAAGCCTGCACCGTCGGAGATATGCTCGGCCCGGAGACTGCCGTGCAGCGAGGCGCAGAGTCGAAGCATGAGCACGGCGACAAATTAAAGACTTGAACATGGAAAAGTTTACCGTGGAGTGGTTATTGCGAGGTGACCAGCAGCAGCCAATCGTCGAGCCACCGCCGGGGCATGGCGGCGAGTTCATCCAACTAAGGCTATGTGGCCCGATGGTGCCCGTGGTGGCGGAAGCCACTGTCGAGGATATGCTCGGGTGCGGCCCGGAGACAATGTACGGCCAGTGGAGCGGCGGCATGACAACAGCAAGTATACCATGGAGCAACTACGCGGCGACGAGTTCGTTGTACACAGGATGCAGCAGCCTTCTTCAAGGATCTGATCCCCTCCAGCTTCCATATCTGACGTGTTGACAGGGCTAGCTAGCAGAACTTCCTGCTCTGTGTGTTCTGGTTAAAGCTGCACAGTTTCTGTGCATCAAAGTGTAGCTTTCCCTAGCCGGTGACAAATTCGTTTGCTTTTCCCTGCTTGTAATGAGATAGAGGTATAACTGATGATCTGTTCTTGCAATATAATTTGCCTTCCTGCAGACTTTGCACTGAGGCCTTGTTTAGATAGCTGTTAGGAATCAGTATTTGGCATTGTAGCATTTTCGTTTGTATTTGACAATTATTGTTTAATCATGGCCTAACTAGGCTTAAAAGATTCGTCTCGTAATTTATAATCAAACTGTATAATTAGTTATTTTTTATATACATTTAATACTCCATTCATGTGTCCAAAGATTTGATGTGATAGAGAGAGTGAAAAAACTTGGAATCTAAACAAGGCCTGAGTTGACAAATACGATTTTTAGTGCGCATTAATCAGTGCCACTGACGCATCACGCATGCATGTAATGATTCGTTTCCATTGCTTGTAATAAACTTGTAATTCAGCGTTAGTTCAATCAGCATGTGTTGTGTCACAGTGCTTGCCATTTCCAGAACGATCGACCTGCTGACTGCATGTGAAGTTGACTGAATAATCTGAACTCTCCATCAGTCAACTTGTATTCTACCATTAGCGTTGTGACGATTGAAGATCATTCCTTCCCCTTCGTCCAGCTTGTGTCAGTCAATTTGGCTCCGCTCCTGTGAAAAATCTTGCTGTGATTCACTAGCTTCATCGTGGATATCATGCAAATATCCTATCCCTGTGCAAACGTGAAGGACCTGTTGGACTGGTAGGCAGCCATGCAATAGCGACCGTAGTACTGCAAAGCGAACATGCATGGTGTTGACGGTAGTTTTGGGACAGAGACAAAGGAACCCGCAGGGGCGGGTTTGCATAGTGCCTAAAACCGGACCGGACCCGTTTATTAGCTATTATTCCAGATCTCGTAGATTTCAGTCGTCCGAAATCTTGGAGGCGTTTTAGGTGTCAAGTTCGGAGAGAGAGAGAGTTGTCGTTGTCGTTTTCCGTTGCCGGCAACCTTACAGGAAAATCGCTGGGTAGCAAGTCGGCTAGGCAGAGGAGGCGGAGCGGCGAGACAGTGGTGGCGGCGGCCACGGGCTAAGGAAGACGGCGGTTGGATTAAGGAAGGGCGGGGAAGGGGGGGGGTTGTGGGGTGGCCCACGACGTGGGGTTAGTGAGGTGGGGGGGGCATTAGGGCTGAACACGATGATTGGGAGGCTGGCGTAGACGGAGGTGGCCGGCGTGGACAGAGGTTGGCCGACAGTAGGTGGGATGAGTAGTTGATCTACTAAAATAAAGAATCGTTGCCTCACTTTTGGAAGAGGAAGAAGAAAGGGTGATGACCATAGGATCATGATTCAACGGGCATAAAACGTTTCCTGACTTTTGGAATTTTCTATTAGAATATACTTTTCATAATTTTTAAAAGTATATTCTAATAAACATAAAAATCTATTAGAAAATTCATAAAAAATTTGTTTTACCTCAAAAAGAATTATGAAACTAGTTTTAGATTTTTTTTTTCTAAAACCATGCTTTATCTTATAGTGCCTAGCTTGAAATTGTTTAAATCTTTATGGACACATTTGATACTTATTTACTAGCAGAAGCTCTCGTTATTTATTATAATTAGTCGATGTTGATCATCCTACGTAGAAGCGCCATCGGAACATTGTCAATACAGTATGCGCGATACACTACTGGAAGCAGAGACTTTGCCGAGTGCAAAATTCTTTGCCGAGTGTAAAAAATCGGGCACTCGGCAAAGACCTTCTTTGCCGAGCGCTGCACTCGGCAAAGAATTACACTCGGCAAAGATTTCTTTGCCGAGTGTTGGGCCCTCGGCAAACACGGGCACTCGGCAAAGGACTTCTTTGCCGAGTGCCAGACTCTTGGCAAAATCTCTACACTCGGCATAGGTGCGCCCACGAAAACGGCGTTCGGTCACGGCCTTTTTGCGAAGCGCTTTTTAGGCACTCGGCAAAGATTTGATTTTTTAAATTCTTTGCCGAGTGCCCCGTGATCTGCTTTCGGCAAAGATTTATTTTTTTTTACATTCTTTGCCGAGCGTCTCAGATCTGGCGCTCGGCAAAGATTTTTTTTAAAAAAAAATACTTTGCCGAGTGACCCTGGGACGACACTCGGCAAAGATTTAATTTTTTTTATTATTTCTTTGCCGAGTGTTCCTGTGGATGCACTCGGCAAAGAGAAAATTTTTAAAAAAATTTAAAACACTCTTTGCCGAGTGCCTTATGGCTGGCACTCGGCAAAGACACCCTTTGCCGAGTGCCATGCCCCGGCACTCGGCAAAGTTTTTTTTGTTTTTGGCCTCCAATTTTTTTGTGCAGCTCTTTTAAAGCACCAGGAACTCCTAGTTATAATTTGGGGATTTTTTGTGGCTTTTTGATATATTTAGTTACTTTATTTCGTTTACTTGAATTTTTCCGGAAATTAGAAATTTGAACTGCACGTGGTACGAATAATGGAGTTTAATGATTCGAAAATTGATAGTCATGTTAGTGAGTGTTGTGAGAGGCCGTATCCAGGAACGGACCCGAAATTTCGGACATCTTGTTCACGAAACATGTCCGCGAAATTGCGTGTCAAGTGTTTTTCGAGATGTTTCGTGAACAAGATGTCCGAAATTTCGGGTCCGTTCCTGGATACGGCCTCTCACAACACTCACTAACATGACTATCAATTTTTGAATAATTAAACTCCATTATTCGTACCACGTGCAGTTCAAATTTCTAATTTTTGGAAAAATTCAAGTGAAAGAAATAAAGTAACTAAATATATCAAAAAGCCACAAAAAATCCCCAAATTATAACTAGGAGTTCCCGGTGCTTTAAAAGAGCTGCACAAAAAATTAGAGGCCAAAAACAAAAAAACAAAAAAAACTTTGCCGAGTGCCGGGGCATGGCACTCGGCAAAGGGTGTCTTTACCGAGTGACAGCTGTAAGACACTCGGCAAAGAGTGTTTTAATTTTTTTTAAAAAATTTCCTCTTTGCCGAGTGCATGCACAGGAGCACTCGGCAAAGAAATAATAAAAAAAATTAAATCTTTGCCGAGTGCCGTCCTAGGGGCACTCGGCAAAGTATTTTTTTTAAAAAAAATTTCTTTGCCGAACGCCAGATCTGAGACGCTCGGCAAAGATTTTTTTTTAAAAAAATTAAATCTTTGCCGAGTGCCAGATCTGGGGCACTCGGCAAAGAATTTTTTTTAAAAAAATCAAATCTTTGCCGAGTGCCTCCCTGATGCGGCACTCGGCAAAGCCGCAGGGCGGGGACTTAGTCATTTTGGCCGTAGGGCGGTCAGAGCCATCAGCCCACCACGCGCGCCGCCCCGCCTCCGTCTGTACGCCACAGCGCCCACAACCCCTCCATCACCAGCCACCGGCCCGCTGCGCACCGCGCCGTCGCCGCTCGCCTTTGCCAGCAGCCTCGCCCTCGCACCCCCTCGGTGCGGCTGCCCTTCCCTTCCCCTTCCCGCATTGCGCCCATGCCATTCATTGCCCACCACCATGCCATGCCCACGCCCCACCGACCCACCACCACCCATCTTGCCCGACCACCCCACTGCCGCCATACTTGCCATGCCCGGCCTCTTTCTGCCCGGCCGGCCTTCTTCCCGACCCCGCCGCCACCCCGGGCCGGCCCTGCCCCGCCTACCTCCTGCCGCCACCTTGCCCTTGATCGCACCGTGGATCGCCCCCACGACGCCCATCCATGCCCGACCCTGTCCCCGACTCCGCCCGATCCTGACGCCACCCGCCCCTACCCCGTCGCCCATCAGGTATGCCTTCTCACTTATTATTGTCGAGGTAGTGGTAGTTGTAGTAGTATTAGTTGTACTAGTGGTAGTAGTAGTACAACTAGTGGTAGTAGTAGTAGTAGTAAAATTAGTGGTAGTAGTAGTAGAAGTAGTGGTAGTAGTAGTACAACTAATGGTAGTAGTTGTAGCAATAGTGGTAGTAGTAGTAGAACCAATGGTAGTAGTAGTAGCAATAGTGAAAGTAGTAGTACAAGTAGTGGTACTACTTGGATATATTCTTCTGCATGGATTGATATCCAAACTACATGGTTTCTGTTGAGCCATATGTGCTTGTCGGCCATCGTGCCGTTGTTTTTTGCAGGTTTTGGAAACCTCATCGTGCAGGGGAGGTTCCGCCGAATTTTTTTGTAAATGATAGTATTTTGTTCCATTTTTGTAGAGAAGAGCCCGTCGAAGTTGAGTCGGAGTTCTCACCACTGTGCCGGTCTACCTGCACCGCGTCGTCTCGCCACTGCACCGACCCGCCACGGACCCGCTAGCCTGACTCCGTTGCCACCCTAGGTATAACCCCTCTTTTCGTATCATTGTCGTAGATCGCGTAACCCAGTTAGGTGTCTCCCATTCGAAAGAGATACGGTTGGAGGTATGCAGATATTTGCATATCTATGACCGTATCTATTTCGGATTGTCCACGTTTTTTGGACAGCCCGCGGATGCGTAGATGGGTTAGTTCCCATGTTCTGCTCTGGTCCGAGATAGAGTTTCGGCATCACCTCCCTGTTGTTCTCCGGATACACACTCTTCTTTGGTAGGACGTGTATCTGGAGAACAGCGGAGAGGTGCTGCCGAAATTATGTCTCGGATAGGA